GGCTATGGGGAAATGTTTCTTTGCTGGGGGGTGGGGAGTGGAAGAGAGAGAGCATTGGATGCTGGCCTGTCTGGATGTGAGACTAGGAACCAAGTCATGCATTTCGGGACCATTATTAGGTCTCTTAACCTGGAGTATAAAGTTTATACTCTACAAAGGGCAAGCTAAAAAATGGGTAGAACCTGGCTCCTTTTTTATGTTGTTGAGTCACTGAAAGAAACAACACTGTAGCTAACTCATCTATATCTTATTCTATTAAAAAATGCATTTTCCTTATTATTTAAAATGTTTGGAATTAAGTTTTCTGTTCCTTGCAGCCTAAAAAAGTTCCAAATTTGTGCATTGATGCTAGGAGTTTTTTATAGTAGAGCTTTTTTTTTTTTTTTTTTTTTCCAAGTAATTATGTAGGCAGTATACAACCCCGGGGATTACTCTGAAGCACCTTCTAAATGGGTAGGGAGCCTCAGCTTTTCTAATTGTAAAAGAAGAGAGCAACTCATTAATTTATTTGTTCAATTACAAATATTTATTAAGCAGCTGCTATGTTCCAGACACTGTTCTAAGAGCTGGTAATGTATCAGTGAACCAAAGACAAAAATCCCTGCCCTGTGTGTATTTTTTATTGGAGAAGAGGATCGATAAATAAAATGAAGAAAACAAGATGTTAAATAGTGCTAAGGAAAAAAATCTGGGAAGGAGAATACATAGTGTCCAGTAGGGGAATTACGTTCGAAGCCTTGGATGAGATGGTCAATGAAAGCTTTACTGAGAATGTTACTTAATTCTGAAGGAATAAATAAGAAAGCAAAGGAGATAACCACTTGGATCTCGAGAGAGAGTATTCCAGGCACAGTAAATACCAAGTGTAAAGGCCCTGAGGTGGGAGCATTCCTAGCATGTTTATAGAAGAGTGAGTGAGGAGGGTAGGGGGAATCCTTACCCAGTTTAACCTCATAGGTCACCCAAAGGACTTAGATTTTTACTCTGAGTGATAAGGGAAATTATTGGATGGTTTTATGGAGAGAAGTGACATGTTTTGGCTTATATTTTAACAAGCTCGTTCTAGCGGCTGCACTAAGAGTAAAGAGAAGAGAGACAAGAACAGAAGCTGAGAGACCAGTTAGGGGGATATTCCAGTAGTTTAGAGATTATGATGGTGATCTGGCCTAGGGATGCAGGAGAAGGCATTGTGAGAAGTGGTCATATTCTGGTTATAGTTTGGAGGTAAAAGTGACAGAACTTCAAATACAGCAGAATTAGAAAAGACACTAGGATGTCTGGCCTGATCAAAGGAAGAACTGAGTTGGCAATTACTTGAGATATGGAAAGGACCGAGGGGAGCAGGTTTTGGTACAGACTCTCAAGAGCTCAGTTCTGGACATTTCGGTTTGAGATGCCTGTTTGATATACACTGTGGATTTCAAATAGGCAGTTGGATCTCTATGTTTAGAATTTAGGGCAGTCATCCAGGGTGGACATATATACTGGAGAATCATTAATATAAGCTAAAGCCATTGAAGTTGGATTAACTATCCTGGGAGCAAGTGAAGAAAAAAAAAGTTCCAAAATTAAAAGTCAGGTTGATGAAAAGAGAGCAGCTGGAGATTAGAAAGGGGCATCTGGAATGATAGGAAGAAAATCAGGCAAGTGTATTGTCTGAAAGACAAGAAAAAAATGTATTTCAAGACTGAGACAGTAAACAACTTGAGAGATCAAGTAAAATGAGGACTGAAAGTTGATCCTTGGGATTAACAGGGTGGTCACTGAAGACAGAAAAACTGATGAAGCAGTCAAGGCAACAGGAGTGGGTTTAAGAGCAATGCGAGGGGAGAAACTGCCAACAGCAATTACAGGCAGCCCTTTAAAGGAGTCTACAAAGCAAGGAAGCAGGCATTGGTGGGGATCACTAGTAAGGAGGAAATGATTTACAATGATGGTAAGTTGGGAGAGTTGCTAGAGCGATATCTACGAGTGGGTGCTAGGGGATGGGTGTTGGCCTTTGGCAGGTGCGTGAGCTTTTTGTCCCCAGCAACTGGAGAGAAGGCAGGGTGCGTAGAAAGAGATGCTGAGATTGCTTCATCTCTTGCAGTGAAATTGGAAGCAGGGTCCTCCCCTGCGGGACGATGGGGAAGGATGGGTTAGAGGTAGAAGACAGAAAGGAAAGTCTGACCTAGTTGGTGGGAAGAGTGGGAGAATGTGCACTAGGGAAATAGGATTCCTGGGCAGCCCCAAGGATCTGTGAGGGGTGTGAACGGCCATGAATGTAAAGACCTGTCAGCAGAGTTGGGGGCTTGGCTTCAGCCACATTCAGCCCTGGGAGTATGAGCATTGCCCACACAGACGGGTGGGTGTCACCACAGTTGTGGGGTTCCAGGGGAGCAAGAAAGAAGCAAGGGAGTTCCTAAAGTTCAGACTACATTATGTGTTAGTATCTGAGTCAGGGCTTTTGGCCTTATGGTAAATTGCCACCCCTGAGCCCCAAAGCAGTTTCTAAACATCTAATTAGAGAGAGAACACTGCTAGGATTTATATAAATAGTTCAGTTCTCCTGCACTGCCCACGTAAACCTGGCGGTAAAAATCACCTGACGGTTCTTGGCCATTCAGGACTTTGAGAATGGGATAATTCATTTTACATGAAAATAAGTGCTGCTCTTCCTTTAATCCATCAAATAGTACCTTGGAAAAATTGTGTGCTTTGGGTTTGTTTTTGTGGATCCCAATTTTCTCACTTAAAATGAAGTCAAAATAATTCTGGGTACTTGAGCTGGAGAGACCTCCCAGGAAGACAGCTGCCTAAGTAGTATGGTTTTCGGAGACTGGGACCACTCCATCCAAACAAAATGCTCATGCCTCTGCTGAAGACTGAGGTGCCAACAGAGGTGCTCCCCGACGTGAAGAAAGGGCCTAACCCCCGCTGTCTGCAGGAGACGCAGGAGTGGGGCATCTGGGGGTGGCAACAGGCAGGGCACTTGGTCTCCTCTAAAAGGCATCAGCTTTTTTCTGTTATCATGGGTGAACACAGGACCAGTGTGGCAAAATCTTACAATTTTTCTTAATTTTTTTATTTATTTGACAGTTTTTCTCTTTTTTTTTAAAGATTTTATTTGACAGAGAGAACGAGAGCACAAGTAGGCAGACCGAGAGGGAGAGGGAGAAGCAGACTCTCCGCCGAGATCATGACCTGAGCCGAAGGCAGCCGCTTAACCGACTGAGTCACCCAGGAGCCCCAAAATCTTACAATTTTTCAAACTAACCCAGAAATCATGACTTCTACATGGAATCTCCGATTCTCAAAGGTTGCCGCCGTTTTTTCCAAAAGCTATAAAAACATTTTTATGGGCAAACCAGAAAAATGTTGACTTGTGTTGTAAAGCAGTAAAAGCCTTTAAAAATATAAATCCTTCTGGGGTAATATTAATACTTAATTTCATCAATTTTTCCTACTAGAGTCTAGTGGAGAACATTTCAGCCTACTTTCAGGAATTGGTTTTGTTAGAAAAGTAGGAATACTGTGGATGCTTCATGCTGCTGTCTCAGCCGAGGTGGCTTATCACGGCTTATTGTTCAGACTATGGATATGTGGTCTAATATGCTGATGTTCATTATAATCTTTTTATGTACTCTCACTTCTTAAAATCTGACAAAAGATACCATGAAAACAGTGAAAGAACTGTAATATCAGAATTTTATTTAATGAAATCACTCAAGTGTTGGGCCATCTATGTTTACCCTTACATTATATAGGATCACTTTATTTATACAGGGATTCAGAATTTCAGTTACTTAAGATTCCTTGAGAGTTTTCCTAGAATATATTGACTTCATGTCATTTTGCCTGCTTTCGGCTAGATGACTATCTTATTCAGTATTTCTCCTCTTCCTGCTGAGATATTTGATATGAATATATCCTTAGGAATATCAGTAAACCTACAGAAAGAAAGCACCCCATAAACCAAGAGTGTTCTACTCCCTTGAGTAAGGAATAATAAGAACAATGGAGTATTAATATCGATGATTATAACAGTTATAGCAGCTACCATTTAATATTATCTACCAAATATTACTCTAGGTACTTTTTACCCATCATCTTTACTCATCACAATACCCCTAGTAGATTGGTATGTTTGATCTCATTTTACAAATACAGAAACTAACGTTCAGAGGGAAGACGCGACATGCTCAGTGTGTCAAAGACAATAGCGACGGAGCCAAACATTAAACCCAGGAGTGTCTGATTGCATCTTGAGGTTCCCATTTATGGTTTGGCCAACAGTTCAAAACTATTAACAGCTTCTCCCTTCCTGGCCTCTTTGAGTTTAGAGATATAAAGATGGATACACAGTTGTCTCTCAAGACATTATACTCCAGTAGAGGAGACACAAAGATGATGTATTTTCAAAACTGCATGGCTGGCAGGAGAATTAGACTCAAACTACACAATATTGAGAGGATGAACAACCTTACAGCAGGGTCCGGGAAAGCTTAATCAAGTGGATGATACTCTAAACTGGATTTTTAGGAATGAGTAAGAATATCCTAGGTGAGAAGCAGCATAAATAGATGTGTGATGTTCGCAGTACATCGAAAGATGTTGTACTTCTGTGCATTCAAGTTGGGGAGGGGCAGGAGACGAGGTGCTTGCCTGTATGCTGAAGATAACATTGAAGTGTTATACAGTCAGATTTGGGTTAAAAAAGAAGTGCCCCAATAGCCATTGAAGGATGGATTGGAGGACATATTTAGAAATTTTAGGACTCTTGTTTTTAACTACTTTGTTCTCAGAAAAATTTTCGTAGCAGAGTCCGTTATTTTGTACATATAGTAAATTGCTATTACCAAGTATATTCTTAAAAGGAAGCATAGTTCAAAAACTTCATCTTTACATCAAAGGTAAATTGTTATGAACTAATGAGACCAGAGCAGGACACATTGCTGTTGGCACTGGCCAGCAACATGCATGCATATAGTACCTCAAGAAAAAAAGATGGACACATTGTCAGCAGAAATCACAAATTTATTAACTCTTAAATATATCAATCAGTCATTTACCATTATGGCAAGAAATATATACAGTGTCCCATGGTAAACTGCAGTGTTTCAAAATTATAGAAGATAGTAATTGTGTAATTCAGTTGTGGTGGAGAGAACAAATCACAATTTCCTCACATCTTAGTGAGGAAGACAAACTTGATCTACGGTAATACTTCAACACCACATGCTAAGTTAAAAGTGTAAAAAAAAAAAAAACCCACTCTATACCTATTATTTTTTAAAATACATGTATGCCACATATAGCCGGTTCACAAAAAGGTAAAAGAAATCAAAAAGGGAAAAATGAGGCCATTACTTTTTCACAGATCTCATTGGCAGGTTAACATGGCTCAATACATTTACTGTATATATTTATTTTAAATATATATTTTTTAAATCGTGTAATTATCAGAAAAGCTTCAATCCATCTACCATACATCCACTAGCAACAATATCTAAGGTGATTAGTCATCAACAAGAAAGGTGAAATGAGAGAAAGAAGGAGGGTTGTTTAGATTTTTTGCTTCTGCTTTAAAAATAGGTGTCTGAAGATTGTGAGTTACTATTGTTAAAATAATGCTGATGAAGATACCATGCACTTTATAGCATTTCAGGGAAGAGAAACAGCCTTACAGGAGCTGAATAAACAAAGGAGAAATGAGAAGCACAAAGAAAGAAAATCTGGGCATTTCCCTTTTCTTTTTAAACTGGAAAATCCTAACTCCTCACAGGGAGATAATGTTACTGACACAAGAGAGAAGCTAAGAGCACAAGCCACAGAGCTCAAGTTCTAAACACTTATGAGAATGGAAATCACTTGCAGGCCTCTCTGACTTCAGAAAACCAGCCAGCGGTGGTGGAGCAGGAGGGGCCCCAGGCACTAGGCAGAACTAAGCGCATGTGCACGAAATCCTGATCCACTACACCTGGTATTCTCCTTGCCAGTCCGTGGGACACTAGGAACCTCACTGCTTTTACCCGAAATTTAAACAATTCTAATACTGCTGATCTAGGATCCCTATGTTCAAAGTGGAGCCGAAGCAGAATTAGAAACCTTTACAATCTTAACATTTTTGTGGGTCCTGAAGATGATCAAAAGTGCTAGTTTAGTTACCTCCATTATGCAAATTTCACTTTGTCTCGAAGTGTGTGAGAAAAGACAGAAGAGGATGGAGAAAAGAGAGCACATATTTGAGAAAGGAACACAAAACTCAGTGAATTCACCAGAAGTGTGAATGTATCTTAAAGTGATCACTCTTAAATTATGTGAATTTTTCCAGTTTACAGTTTGACCCCAAACAACATGACTTTAGAGGGCAGCAAACCAACTGATTCTCGCTTCCACATTCATGAGTGATTCTGGCCACATACCAACCTACTTTAATTGTTAGCAATTTCAACCAGGATCACACCAGGAAACTGAAGGTGTGTGTGTGTATATATATATATATATTTTTTTTTTTTTTTGCTTTTTGTTAAACAAGCCAAAACTGATTAACAGCAAAGAGTTTTAAAAATGTATGTTTCTCTTACAAACTGTAATTCAGAGAATAATTTTGAAGTCTCTTATATCTTGGCATAAACAGAAACTTGATGAATAGGTTGTACTTGGAATATTGTGGAATTTTTTTTTGTCTGACCTCCCCCTATTGTTTGCCAACAGTAATTGAATTTTGCATGGAACATCCCCATAGTTGAAGTGTAAACAATGTATAGGAAGGAATATATGACAAGATGGTGCATCACATATGCATTACATGTAGGACCTTCACAACTTCATGCACTCAGAAACATGCATGAAGAGGAGGAGAGGACAGCCCAGGGTTACCATCCAGGTGCCTTGAGAACAAGAATGCAGAGGTGGCACTGTTGATATTTAGCTGAAAGAAAGGGGGGGGAGTGAGAAATAAGTTATACTGTTTTACAAAATTGTTTTGCCAAAGATGTGACTAGGCTACAGTTTTATAACTCAGCTAAATTAATAGATCGAAAATACAGTTGTATAAAAGATCTTTGCTTGTGATCATTAAGAGATGAAATACACAATGTTAAACAGAGACAATATTAAAATAGGAAACTATTAATTATCGGCCAACTTGTCCACACAGAGCTAAGCTGAAAATAGAAACAGGAACCCAGGCTTCAATCACATTATTGAACTTAATTATGCATTGTAAGCATTCATGTTTACTAACAAATAATTTTGTTGGAAGAGATGAAAAGTTTAAGTGCATTCTTAGCTTTTGTCATTATTCTTAGACTCCTTGGGAAGTTAAACCTAGAAGTCCATTTAATGAGGAATATAGCCTCAAAAGTAGGGAAAACATATTAATTGGAGGTCTCTTTTTTTTAATCCAACAGCAGGGAGCACTATTTCTTTAAAAGCTCTGACAAGGTTCAGTGCTTTGAGTGGAGGAGATATTCACAACATTAGCACACATATCTGAATCCTAATCCAAGTTAAGAAATAAATCTTAAAAAACACTGGCGTGAATTTAATTATAGTCAACTTTCAATTATCCTCTGGAATTACCCACTATGTAAGTTTTAAATTTCAGCTTGACTTCCACTTGTGGCCTATCCTCATGGTCAAATACCATTATACTCAGTGAGGCAAAGCAAATTAATTTATATATGAACCTTAGGAAGTGTGTAACACAAACTACTACCTCTAGAAAAATAGACACCAAAAAATCCTAGAGCTTGATTTAATTAGGTCTGGATAATTGAGAGTTGTCTGAATTGACCCAGACTGGACTTTCGATGCAGGAACTCCAGGATATCTTAAAATGCCAAGATCCATACGCTGAAGGGAGGCTCTTCTCAGCACTTATTACCTTTAAAACAAGGGTTATGCTACAAAATGAGGCCAAACATTAGACTCAAGAGCTCATGCAAAAATGCTATAAGTTTTCGAAGACCTTTTATATTTTCTATCGAATATAATGCAAAAGATAATATCCTTAAAGGGAAGAAAAACAGCCATGCAGCTTTTTAGTCATGAGCTCCATTCACAAAGTATCACGGAGCAGGATTTTACTTACAAGACCCATATGTGAATGGTTTTCAGGCCTTAGATGTTTTGCCACAAAGAGGTGCTTCCTGAGAAGTTTTCTTTCCCATTTGGAATACAGGATGGCCTATTAAGAGAAGCCCCATTTAAGCCACCTGGCATAAAATGAAGTTTTCTTAAATAGGCTCTATCCCATAAATACTTCAGGGAATTGTAGAAAATCCTAACCCTATAGTACTGTATGAATATAACCCCTTCCATATTAACTGGCAATTAGTGCTGTACCTCTTTGGGGTAAAAAAAACAAACAAACAAACAAACATGGGTGTCTTCATTATTCCTTTTGTCATTCTCTTAATAGGCTGAAATTCATTCTAAAAATAATAGCTAGCTTTTTTTCCTTCATCTACTTTTTATAAATCCAACAGTGATACATAATTATTAAGGCTATAGAGAAGGCCTTTGAAAACCACTGTGGTACATTATTAAACTAAGAAATTTTGATAGATTCTCTGGAGTTGAATGGCTGTTTGTATAAATTTACTCCCCCATCTTACTCCCCCAATATTACAGGTGATCCTGGTGAGAGAATTTGGAATGAGATCAGCGGTGGGCCAAACTTCTGAGTCTAAACTCCCCTTCTTGTTTTCATCTCATCCCTTCACTGAGCAACCGTATTTCCCATTAATAATCCCCTTTGCTCCAGTTGGAGCCAGCCTTCCTTACCCATACTCCTCTACCATATGAAACTAACATCCTGACATTGTTGTATCCTTCTGATATACCTTGACTCTCTTCCATTTGCTCCAGGTCTCCAAAGCCCACTTGGAATGTTGGACAAGGTCTTAAATGATATCTTCTACACAAGGTATACTTCCAAACCGTTATTAACAGTTTGCTACACTGGTCATTCATTCCATTCTACTCTGAAGTTATGAACCTCATAGTTTTTCTTTGGTATCCATGGTAACTTGCTTTCTAAACTAGAATATAACTTTTACCTTGTATTTCATCTGGTACAAGTTAAGCACCTCAGGGATATACAATAAATATTCATCTAATTACTGACTGGAAGAGCAGACATAACATCGGAGGAAGACCCTGAGATACCTGCTACTTGTATTTTAAATGTTATGTTTATAACTTTCTTCTGATATCTATAACGTAGCCCAATAGATAATCTATAAAGTTCCTGACATTTTATTGGCCATTTTAGAAACTCTTCACCTTCCTCTGCCAATTGTGACAATGAAGTCACAAACAGTTTGCCTCATTACATGATTTAACAAAAAGAAACCCGCTTGCTAGGGTATCCTCCAGTTTCTACTGTGTGTGTTTCAACTCACAAACAGCTGGTCTGATCTTTCTAGAGTTACAGTGTTTTTCCTTGAACATTCCCACCAGTGTAACCACTAGCATTAAATAACATATATCATGTTATTAACAATGGAATAAGTAAAAAAAACGCTGACCATGGGTATATTAACAAAGAAGCTGACAGCCTGGAAATATTTACTTGATGGGTACTGTTGGCGACCCAGAGCGATGAAAATGAACATTCTGCCACTTTCCATCCCGGCGATGCCACACACGAGTTTCTTCTGACTGCATTGTCTTTGGCATCCCGCTGCCATCCATGTACTGCGTGAGCCTAATGTATGCTATGCAGGCAGCATCATCACCTACCAGGTGTACATGGGGGTTCAGGATAATTGTGTGGATTGGTTTATTGCTTTTGGACAAAGCTGAAAGAGAATAACATGAAAAACAGATCTCAGTTTCTACATAAAGTAAACCAAAACCAAAGCTTCACCTGGGACCAATGTATGGAATGCTATTCATTCATTCAACTATGAATTGTTTGCACTAATCGAGTCCCTGGCACTGTGCAAAGTATAAAGGAAAAGAGAAAGAGCAAAAGTAGATATGCATTATTTTCTGTGTTTCCCTTTATACAGAATTTACATGTCACTCTGGAAACTATGGTGGGGGAAAAGCTGAAGAGATGTATTTACTTATAATGGTAAGTGGTTAGAAGCCATGATACAGATAGAGAGGGAGAAGGCCTGGCCCAGGTGCAGGGAGCAGGTGACAGGATATCCTGTGGTCTTGTTCATTTTTGTTAGCTGGTGAAGTACATGGGACAAGGGAAATACATCAAGTATCAAATATGGAGATAACGGTTTCCGAACAACAACAACAAAACCGGCCATAGCATGAATTTGTTTCCCCCTCTCATTCTGTGACTCCTTTACTTCGCAGAGTCCATTCCATGATAGTCCAGTGGTGGTCATCCAGTAAAACTCCAAAATTTGGTTATTGGTCATATAGCCTGGTACTGATTCTCTAGTTCATTCTTTGATTAAGCAGCCCTCCCTAGGCTCCAGCCTTTGGTGTTTTGACAATAGCTACACAATCTAATTATTCAATGACCAAGAGATGTGAAGATTTAGCACAAATGATGATGTCATTCTTTTAGATCACTAAAACAGGCTGAACTGTTTTTACCTGTTGTCCAAACCTGCTTCCTATTCTCAAAAAAGATCTGAGTAAATTACTCAGTTCCACAATCATATACAAAAGAATATCTCATTATGAAGAATATGTATTTATGGTAAGTAGTGATATAGAGTTTGTTTTGAAGTAAGTTAAATATTTAATGGATTAATTATTCTTTTACTAGAGATGAGATGATGTCAATGGGAGAATCAACTGAAAGAAACATTATCAGAGAGTGAGAAAATTTACTGAAGCTTTGTTAAGGCCAATTTACCACATAATTCTTTGTTTGCTTGCAAATGCCCAGTGAATATAAAAAAGGTAATTCATTAAACACAACTTAAAAATCCATGCCAAGGCACACATTCTTGTTAATGCTTATAATTACTGGAAGTGAGCTTGATTATCCTAATCATTACTACACTTCTTAATTTACCAAGATCTCACTGAAGAAGGGTGAATTCACTCTATGCATCATGCAAACAAAACACAATACCTAGTCTTTAGGTGTAAGGAAGAGGATAAAAGGATTTCTGGGTTACTTTTTTTTTGATGACCTCAAGGATTTCTGCAGGAGTTTCTTTTGGGTGGCTGTTTCCTCTGAGACCACTAAAGTTTTTTTTTTTTTTTTAAGATTTTATTTATTTGACAGAGAGAGACACAGCGAGAGAGGGAACACAAGCAGGGGGAGTGGGAGAGGGAGAAGCAGGCTCCCCGCTGAGCAGGGAGCCCGACACGGGGCTCGATCCAAGGACCCCGGGATCATGACCTGAGCCGAAGGCAGCTGCTTAACCGATAGCCACCCAGGCACCCCAACTACTAAAATTCTTTTAATGGCAACTGAAATACTTACCTGATCACTCATCTTCATGTACATTTTACTTTGAAAATGAGCACTAAATATGCTTGAAAGCACTCCTTTATGTCAAATATTCTGACATGCTATGGTGTCTTTTATTTTTTCATATATAAACTGATTTTTATGAAAACTTACTTTTTTGGTGATTCATTTTACAGCTTATATCATACATTTACTGGGACCTATATGGGGTAGATTACCTTTATCAACATTATCTTTTATAAATCAACTAGTTTTCAAAACAAAACTTTTATACTTTTTTTTTAATTTCAAAAACAAAATTTTATGATGCAAAATGCTGGACTAAGGTGAAAATTCTCATTGCAGAACAAAGAAAACTGAAAATCTGGGAGAAATTCAAAGAGAAGTTGGAAAAGGCATGTTATTAAATTTAGAATAAATGTACCATTTTCAAAGTAGAATCGGTGAAAGTCCATCCCTTCCACTAAATTACCCAAAGCTTCAGGTTCAAAAGCAGTAAGGCCTGGGTCACAGATTTTTCTGTAGGGACAAAAAAAAAAAAAAAAAAACACCAAAAAACAAAAAAGAAAAAAACAGCAACAAAACAAAAACATAATTAAAATAACCAACACATGAGTTAATATATTTGGTTTCACACATATCCACTCTTATTAATCAAACAGTGAAGAAGTCGCTTTAAAAAACACTAAAAATATAAAATTTCTTTCACAGGCCTTGGCAAGGTGGGTTGAGGAGCAGATGTCAAAAAAGCATTTTTACAGAGAACTCTGATAGGGACAAGAGCCTATAGCAAGTTCCAGCAGATGATAATCTATACTACTTTAGGAATTTCTTTTCTTAAATTTCTACTTTTTTTATATCTCCAAGGTGAATTTTCTAGTCTTTTTCCAGTTTTTCTCTTATTTTTTAAATGCTGTCCAAGTCCAATACACTCTCCAAGTCCTACAAAACCAACTTTTTCATTAAATAATTTGGAACAATTTCTGACACCTTCTACATTCATGTCCAATATCTATATTATTGATTTGACGGCATGTGTCACATCCTATACTTCCTGGAAAAGCTGTATTCAAAGTTTATCTAACTTTTAAAATAAAATTAATAAAATATACAAATTAGTTTTCTTTTTAATCCTAGAAATGTAATTCAACAAAGATCTGCAACATTTTTAAACTTTCTTTGGAGAAACTTATTCAACAAAGAATTGTTAAACATGTAGCAGATATTTTTTGAAACAATTGTAATGCAACATTTATGACTGGAATAGAAATAAATACAAAGTGCTTGAAAACCAGATTACTTACATATGGGACAGGGAAGATTTAAGAGAAAAAAATGTGAGCTGGGCTTTCAGGAATAAGTAGGAGTTCTCCAAGTGTGTGGAAGGTGGTGGGAAGGAGGAGGGTAGCAATTACAATGACACAGTAGTGTGAGAACATAGAGTGTGTTTGGGGAATGACGGTTAGTTGCTTGATCTGGTGAGCACTGAGTATGTATGTAAGTCCATGGAAACATAAAGGGGGAGACAGTTCCTTGGGCCTGTGGTGATAAAGGTAGGCTTCTCAGAGGAAGTGATAGAAGATCCTAGATTTGACGAATTAGTGGAAGTTTACAAAGTAGATAAAAGGATTTGGGACTATTTTGGGGCTGCATCTATAACATTCCCCATTTAGGAGACACAGCATTTTAACTGTTCAACAGAAATACAAGTTTCAAAGGCCAACTCACTATGGTTCTTCGCAGTATTGTTCTTAGAACGTGGAACTGATTTTTTAAGGAACAATTTTTAAGTAGAAAATAAAAATTAAAAAACAAACCAGTGATGATTCTTTGTCTGTGTGTGTGTGTGTATTTTTTTTTTTTTTTTAAGAGCCTTAAAGGCAGGGCTGGCAGGGGTAGTGGGGAGGCATTTTACATTTTGCCTTAGACTTGCCCGTGGGCAGGTACTTCCAAGCTCAAAGTCAGATATATATATATAATCTCTTTCTAAGAGGCAAATGGGAAGAACAGTGTTCCTATGGTAACAGGAATTTATTCTGTCAGGGGCTATTACTTCCTCTATAAATATGACTTTTGGTTGTCAACATCGGTGAATCAAAATTTTTTACTATCTTATATTGGCACTAAAATCATCTGAGAATCTCTGTACCACGATGGATCGCTTTACCTAACCATCAAAAGAGTCAGTATATCTGAAAACCTGTTCGTCTGTTCGTTCTTTCTCTCTCCTATGTATATATGTATTTATCATCTGTCATAGGCTTTCAATTAATAAAGGATTCACAAAGCTGCCACTTGATGTGTGTGTGCACATGCTCTGAACAGGTGTTCTAAGGACTTCACCACTGTATCCTACCATCCAAAAAGCTCCCAAACGGAAGGTCCTGTTGGAATATCCCTGGGCCTGAGAATGCAACATCAGGCCAGATTACAGGCCTCCATAGGCAAACTGATGTGATTCCAAGGGACTGCATTACTTAAAATACCGTACATTAAACTGTTGGATAAGATAGGAAATATCCCAGTTTTGCCTGGCTACCACCACCACCAAAACACACTTTTTACTAATCCACAGGAGAATGCTATTACATATATATACATATATGTGTGTGTGTGTGTGTGTGTGTGTGTGTATAATATGCTATTACCTATATATATGTATTATTATGTATTATGTATTATTATGTATATATCATATATGTATTTTCATGTTTGGAGAATACTATAGGTCTAATAAAGTCATCAGAAAAGAATAAAAGAGCAGGTTCTATGGCACAGACTTCTCAGCTGTTTAAAAGGGAACTCTTGTCTGAGTTTTCTTTTAAACTCCATATACTATTTCAAGTATTTATTTTAAATGTTAAATAGCTGATACAAATACACATGTGTATGCATGTGTTTGCATCTATATGCACATACACAATTTATAAGAAGCAATCTTGGATTTAATTCTTACACTCAGTTACTCTCTTCCATATTTAATATTTGACTATCTGTAACTGATGATAAAAGAAATACCTTACATAAAATTGGGGAAAAAAGAAAAAAAAATCACACATAATTGCGTTTCCCAGAGGCAATGTCCTTTTATCTTTTTAAAAACCATTTGGGCATATCTCATTCCACTTTTAATGCTTTTTTTAAATGTAACTGAAATAATTATGTACATCACAATTACATCATAAGCATTTCACCAGAGCGCTAGAAACTGCATAAACATCTACTGTACCAAATTCACCACATATTACTTACTGGTTACCTTAATGTTGGACTGATGCTTCCAATTTTTCACCATTATGAATAATGTTTTAATAAATGTTTGTTTATAATTTTTATCCATGCTTTAGATTAAAAATCCATACCATGTTGAATTTTTATAAGTAAAAAGAGGATTAAAACAATTTGAAACTTCATAATTGCTTTCTGGTATATAAGAAGTACATGTCCCCTCTAACCCCTGACACCACCACTAACCTAAAGGTTTGCCTCTATTTATACCCCACCCAGTGGTGGAGGAAAGTCCACAGTCCTGCAGGATCTGCACCTCTCTGGTTGTCAGCAGTTCTTATCCCTGCTGATCTGATGGACAGAAAATGCTCTTGCATTCAATTTTGCATATCTTGGCTTTTTACATTTTTTTGCTTTTTTTTTTTTTTTTAAGTATACAAGTTTTATCTATTTGGGTAGCCTAATCATTTTATCTTATTTGTGATTACTTCCTCTGCTTTTAAACTTATAAAGATCTTTCCAATCAGAAATCAAATTTAATCTCTTTTTTGCATTTAACTCTTTCATTCAAGAGGAACTCACCTGTATGGACTAGGGGAAGGCTTAGACTGATTTTTATCTTCACCCCAACAGCTAACTTATTGACCCACATACTTTGTGAAATAAGCCTTCATGCCCTATTTATCTGAATGCTTTATTTTTATTTGATTGGAGTGATTTCCTTTATATACCCTATGATCCAGTAGTTTATAAACTAAGCATTTGTACCTTCCTTCAAATAAATTGTTACCTAAGAAACAAACTCATAAAAGAGACGAAGATAAAGTTGAGGTGTACTGGCTGAAGAGGAAGAAGGCTGCCTCATGTTGCCTCCTGCTCTCTCTCTCTCTCTGTGTCCCAGCACCTCGACAGAGCTGCGAGGCAAAACATTTCTTAAACCAAAATGCCCTTTTTTGTGTTTGCTCTCATGGACGCTCTGCCTGGAATGCCTTCCCCCTATGGAGGGGCTGGTGATTGTGTCTGTGCACTGACAGAGAAAGCCCCAGTCCTCCCATCACAAGTCTTGTCTTACCTCTCTAAATCCTAAATTTATTTCTCTCCTGGGGACACTTAATTTATACCTTGAAATAATGCTACTGTTGATATCAAACCTGGGGTTAAATATACATGAATTCTGGTACACTGAAGAATGCATTCACATAGAAAATATTTTGTCATATGCATGAAAGCAAAATAAATGTGCTTCTACTCACGTGTAAGCTTCAAAGTCTCCATTGTTGATGGCTTCGATCAGTTGTTCAGTGACTTTGATAATTTCTTGCTTTCGTGCTAAAGGCAAAGATAGAGTATTTTATATGGCTTTTGTCCTTTATTCTCACAAAACTCTAACAATACTGCTATTTTTCTTAAATGGGGTAGTACTATTTAAGACACACCCCTCCCTGAACCATGGTGTTATTCTCTCTATATAATCTTGCTGCTCACAGCACAGAGACCAGCATCATCTACTTCTTTTGGGAGCCTGATAGACACACAGATTCTCAGGTCCTACTCCAGACTCACAGATTCAGAATCTGTATTTTAACAGGACCTTTAGTCACCTGGAAGTTCAAGACTATATTTTTTTTAATAAGTTCTCATTACCTTTATCAATTTGAGTTTGAAAATGTTTTTCTCTTGAACATTAACAAATGTCTATCTTCAGAGTATAGATGATCTTTTACATTGAGACACTTTATATAATTATTTTTTACTGTTCAGCCCAATCAACTCTGCAAAAGGGGATGCCAACACTGTAACTGCCATCATATTTAGACAAATGGCCTTCAGTAAACTCTGTAAATTGGAAAACCAACATATGAATCAATATGTAGACGTAGGCAGATAATTAGATGGAAGCCACCCTGCAGAGATGTCAACTCCAACACCAAACATGCTTTGTTTCTATATATACCTCACAATTGGTAAAATTATTAATAGTTGGCTTGGCTCAAATCCCACCTATTCAGTAAATTCCTTTCTGATTACATCTGCAAATGTTCTTTGCCTTTTTTGAATGCCTACAGTGTATCATTCACTTGCTAATTAAGCATATGCTATATACCATGACACCTTCTTTAGTTTAATCATTACTGGTTTTAAATTGTTATTAAACTTTGTTTACTGTGTAATTGCCTTTCTATTAAATTAAAATCGCTCTGTGTGTGTGTGTGTGTGTGTGTGTGTGTGTGTGTGGGGAGGGATGCTACTTTTTTTGTATCCTCTGAGTTTTATTCCAATGTCTTTAATAAAATAGATGCTCAATAAGTTTGTGAATTTGATCAGCTGCTATTAATGATAAACTTTTGACTTCAGAATACTATTCTGTTACTAATGAAATTAATGCACAAAATTTTTAAAAAATTTCCCTGAGCTTTAAGAACATTGTGATATTTCCTTAAATCACTGGAAATAAACTGGGAGAGTCACAAAAAGTTATATCCCTTCTATCTTACTGAAATTGCTATTCATCATAGAAAAAGCTTGGTTTTAGTTTGTTATTGATTAAAGGCTACCAGTATGGATTTTTAATGAAACTGATCTTCAGTAAATAGGTTTTAACTACAAAATTAAATGTTCACGTTATCCAGGTTATTATATTCCTTACTTTAAATAAATATCCTGTCAACCTAACTTGACTTGATTTATATTAATATGAGACTACCCTAATAAAATATGATTTGTCCATAGAATGGTTGCTAATTAAGTCAAGGTTGATAATATAAAAAAAAAATCACTATATAGGTTAGGTTTCATATTTAGTTACATAATTTAATTTATATTAGGAAAAAAAGAATATAAGGTTTCTTAGCTCCTACACATACTTAAAACATTTTTTTGCCCTTGTTCATTTGATTTATGAATATAATGTATCCAAGCATCCAAAACATACTGACACAAGTAGTAGCAGGGAATAATTCTGTAATAGAGATGCCGCCAATGGCACATTTTAGCTTAATTTAGTTCAGCAATAAGTGATTCATCTGTCTCTGGCCTCAACAGTATGAACATTTGGCAAAAATGCATGACAGCTGACCCGATTCTGGAATAGAAAGGACATTGGTGAGACAGTGCTCAGGAAATGAGATTAAGAAAGTGTGACTACCAAAACTTCCTCCTCAATATTAAATCCTTGTTTAAAACTAATAAATTTCTTAGTCTGCTAAGTAAAAAACTAGAGTTTAGAAAATGTCAATTTTTAAAAACAAGAAGGGGGAAAAATGAACATAAGATCAGTGCCCTTTGTAGAGCTTCATTAGGCTAAGACAGTTCATAAAGGTCACCTTCTGAATTTTCCAAAAGTCTCTGCATTCCCTGATAAGCAAAATATGGAATTAAAATATCAGGTGTGTATGTATATGTGTGTGTGTGTGTGTATGTATATGTGTATATATATATATATATATATATATATATATATATGTATTTGGCATCCTCTGAATACCAAAAGTTTTTCCACCCTTGACCAGCACTATATGGCCATCTCTCACCCTCTGAATCACTGTGGAAATACTTACTAGCTCTTTAATAGTTTACATGCTACGACTGGCTTAGTTTTTGTCCTACGTAATCAAAGCAACACAAATTCCCTTCCGTCTCAGCTCTTAGCCTCAGAAACAATGGTCCTTTAGTTGGCAGCAGAGCAAGTGGGATTTAGTGACAATGCTTCTGTGCTGCACCATCATAAAAACAACATGACTATCTTGGCTTCGGAGGAGCCTGGAACTCAGAAATCTTGAGAGTGCTTATTTCCCTGGGGAAAAGGAGCGTGAATGAGTCACAGGCAGCACATGACAGCTGACTCTTTAAAGGAAAGCAGAAGTCTGGAAATGAATCATTTGTACATAGTAGTCTGTTGTGGTTGAGACTATTGCCACAGAGACCTACAGGAAGAGTGAGGTTTTGGTGCTAGTTAGCTCTACTTTTCAGCAGTGAAGGTAAAGGACAATCACTATAGTAGCTAACTGGATGACTAAGATCTGTAGGAAGGGGCCCCTATCATCGGGCCTTCCCTCTTTCAAAAGATTAAGTAATGACCACTCCAGAAGTCAAAGTGGGGACAGTTTGTGATGTGTCACTAATTAACACTTAAGATGAAGGAAGAGTGTACCGATACAGCATCCTCTGAATACCAAAAGTTTTTCCACCCTTAGCCAGCACTTTAATCACAGAGAACTGATTACCCAGTAGCTTTATTTACAGAATAGAGGTGCTCAAGCCTAAACCCACAGGTCCCAAAATAGCTTCTGGGGATTCCAGGTTCCTAGGGGAAATGCAGGAGAGAAAAGTAAGTAGGAGAGATGCTCCAGATCCTGAGTATAATTGCTTCCCATGCAACTGTGCAAAAGAACTAGGAACATGTCCATGTTCAAATTCATATCTTTTTGGCTCTTTCATTGTTCTAAAGAGGCCTGGAAGAGTAAGATAAGAGTGTGAATGGTCCCAGTGTTAAAAACCAACTAACCAAACAAGAAACCCTGGGAACTGAGAATGATTACATAATAAAATGATGGATTTCAACATTTCTCAAACATTAGCAGGTCTTATCTCATCAGATCAACAAGGATCAGATGTGATCAACAATGCTCTGAGATATGCAGACAAACATTACCTGTTTAACAGGTAAGCACACAGATTACAGGCACTGCCCAGAGGCACAGTGTTTGCTGATTACTCCTTCCCTCCATCCTGAAAAACTCTCACTTCTTTCTTGCTTTTCTTACTAATTATGTGGTCACATGATCTCACTCTCATTTGCTGTTATCTTTTTCTACCTGGACTTTAAATGTTTCCTTTTAAAGGTTCAATCTGAGGCCCTCTTCTCAACATACACTGTATCCCTATGATCCTGTCCACACCAGTGTTTTATATTGCCATTTATGTTCCAATGACTCCGGCATTGCTGCTTCCTTTTTTTTTAGTCCTTTCCTTCAGATCTGTGTGTCAATGCCTATTTTAGAATCTTCATTGGATATCTCAAATGCATCTTTAACTCAACATATCCTAAACTGAGCTTATGAACTTCTATCCCCACAAATCTATTTGCTTTTCCAGGGATCATCCTCTTGGTAAATGGCATTATCCAGTTGCACAACCCAGAAAGAAACTTGAGAATCATCTTTGACTCCCTCACCCCACCCACCCTATCTAATTTTTCAATATGTCTTACATATTAGTTTACTACTTTCCTTCTTCACCACCACTCTGCTATAAGCACCCATCATTTCTTGTCCAGAACAAGTATCCAGAGACTATGAAATCTTCAATAAGACTAGACTCTGCCCATCTCACCAGACCCATTCAAAGGCTCTTTTACTTTATCCTCTCCATTCCACCCATATAGCCTACTCTCAAAATTCAAAATGGCCATGCTTCCTTCTATTGTCAGCCCTTCATATATATTATCCTCTCTTCTTGGAAAACTGTCCCCCATCTTTGCTTCTACTTCCTTTATCAGATCTCAACTATTATTTCTTCCAAAAAGCCTTCCCTGACCCTCATTTTAGGAGGTCTCTATGTTTTAAATTCATACATATCCTACAACTGCTATTTAGTACACATGTATTTACATATTTATTTGTGTGTATTTGACCACACTTTCTCTATTTGTAAACTCCACAGGGGCGGATCCCTCACCACTGCAACCCAACATCCAGCAAAGTACATGTTTAATAAATATTTGGATGAATAGTGGTCCAGAACAAACTCAAGCACTTTCTGACTCCCAATCCAGCGGCCTTCCCAACATATACATTTTTTAGTGATGGTCAGATAGCCTTTAAAAAATACACAACTGATAACTGGAAACAATTCAGATATAAAGAAGCATGTCTTACTGCTTACTGATGATGAAAGAAAACACTCTTCAACTTGTCTAAAACTAAACACCAAATTTCTTTCTCTTCTTGACTTGCCCACTTTTGCTAATGCAACCACAATTTTACCAGTCTTGTCCTCATATTCTGTCCTCCACAAGTCATATAATTTTTCATTACCAGCTATGATGATGTTTCCTAGGGTGTATCCTCAGCCTCTTCATCTTTTTGCTTGTTTTTGGCAATCTCATTAATTCCTCTGGCTTTGACCATATAATGAAGACTGCCAACGTTCTATCACTAACCTTAAACCTTTCTAGGCTCCAAGTTCATATTTCTAACTGCATCGTAACACCTCCAGTTACCCTGGCATTTCAGACCTAATGGGGTGGCCAAGAAGGACCTCAAGTATCTTCCTTGCAAAATCTGCTGCTTCTCTTATATCACTCATCTTGGATAATGATGACATAATCT